TACCTCCCTTCTATTTTCTAAGGAATAGTTTGATTTTGTGAATCCCCAACTGATTTTTTTCCCCAACTGATCAGGGCTGTACCCCTTTCCTTCCCAAGAGTGAAGATACTTTGTTATTTGTTTTCCTCCTTGAAATCATCTTGTTGCTTTGGCGTCTTTGAAAAGATATTCATGATCGAACAGAATATTGTTCGGTGTTTATTTTTAATATACATATTCTTGTTCTAACCCTGACTCGTAGGTTGTGCCAGTATAATTCCATTGGCTGTACTTTTTCATTTTGTTACTGTATTTACATACTCCCCCCATACTTTTTAAAAAGAAAAACGATGGTTGAAAAGACATGTTCTTGTGTTTCTAAGAAGTGATGCAATTGTTTTTGGAAAAATAGTGAAACTTTCAACATCTTTCTAAAGTTATTTTTGTATCACTGCTTTTTGCTGTGTTTTCACAGTCATGGTGGGAGATTTTGCCAGCACCCAACTATTACTCATCTGGTACATAGCTGAACAAATTATTTTCTTGAAATACATTCCCAATAAAACCTAATTATAAATGCCTATAATTATTTAGGGTATCTTTATGTATACTAATGATGGTAGCAAATAGAGGGACTGCATCGATATGATCCCTTTGACAACGTTCACCATGTACTTAATAATTTTACATTTTACATTCCAGACTCTGAGACTATATAAGAAACTAACCCTTCTTCATGATGGAGACAGCTGTCCCAAACCTGTACAGGCTCTCCTTTTATGTGAGGTTGGAAATAGCTACTTGAGGTGGCATAAACAGCAAAAGTTCAGCTACAACCAATCCTAGACTGAGTATTGGGAAATCCCTTTGTCCCTTTGGTTTTTCATTAGATAATCTGGTTAGCTGTTTGAAAAAGGAATGTATAATTATATATAGTGATGAGATTAGGCCCTAAAATATATTTCTGGAATAATTCTACCCATGAATAAATGATAAAATCAAATAGGGCTAAAAGTGTTCCAGGCAGGAGGTCCTGCTTTGGAAATTAATGGACAATTTCTAGTGATATTATCAGAAGTGTTATAAAAAGTTTTTATATCTCTTACATCTCTACTGGGGAAAGAGGGTAAAGGCAGAGTAACTCCAAGTCCTTCCAATCTCTGCTGATAGAACGAAATCAGACCATTCACAGAAGGAAAAGTATCTCCAGCTGAATTTAGAATTGTTTTTCTTAGTAGGGAGTTTTCTTTTTCTTTCCTTCTTGTCTTCCTACTTTCCCTTCCTCTGTGCCTCCCTCCCACCCTTCTTTTCTCTCTCTTTTTTTTTCTTTCTTCATATACTTATTAAGTGAATGAAATCCTCTTGATTGTGTGTTACTTGGGAATAGGAACCAGAGAAAGATGTGAAGCTATATGATGCAAAGGAAAAACAGAAGTAACATTTTAAAAAATTTACAATATGTAACGTATATAACTGAACATATATAACTGAAACACTGAACCATATACAAATATATGCATTGATATATTGGAGCTTTAGTCCTTTAATTTAATTTCTGTTAAAATGCAGCTACTTTTAATAAGTGATTTAGTGAACGATACACACTTTCCTGGTAGTGGCTCATGACAGAGGAGTGGGAAGAAGGCAGAGAAAGCAACAGGGTACACTGAGGAAGGGAAAGCTGTGTTTGCAACAAGGAAGAAGCTTACAGGGAGAGAAGAAAGGGGAAGTAAGAGGGGATAAATGACAAATTTTCCCCCTTTCTGTAGTCTCTTCAGATTCAGTTCTGCCTCATGCACATATCCTTCTAGATTTTTAGTCTATTTATCATTATTCATCATAAAAATAGCTATTGAACATTGAACATCATCTGTAGTTTGACATCCTACTAGGCACTTGACATACTAAATTGTTAGAGCAAACTTTGCTATTGTCTCTCTTTTACAGCTGAGAAAAAGAAGGCTCAGAGAGTAAGTTGCAAATGATTAAATACAGCTCTATTTAAAATCAAACCTCCTCATTTTCTGCCACTATACTGTCTCTAATTTGGAAATTTGTCTTCCTTCACATCAAGAGTATGAAGGAACCTGTACCAGTCAAGATGAGGTTATGTAGTAGGAAAATGAAGTGAATTGTATAGAAGCTCTAAATAATTCTAGAGCAAGTACTATGGCATGCCAATTGCAAAGAGTGAGGAAATACAATCTTACCGTGCACCAAGAAAAAGGAGAAATGGAAGCACTAGTGAGCAGCCTTAATATACACTCCAGAACCTCAAGAGTAAAGACAGAATAAAAATGTAGGAAATAACTGTAGGAGTTCTGAGTTTAAAAGGGCAAGGTCCTTTTCAGCTCAGCTCTCGACTCCAAGCCTACTGATGTTAAGCCTTTCCACGTGTTGATTTACTTGGCGAGCTGAGAGATTATCAGCAACCAGGGCCATTTTAAATATAGGCAGATACAGGCATATTTTTAGCAAAGCTGAAAAAACAGGTTGGCCACTCAAATAACCCAATTTAGACTTATGGTAAGAACAGTGCATCATTCAGAGTTGCAACTGGTTCTTGCTTTAGTTAGTAGAAACTTCTCCACAGGCTGAAGAAAATGCAGCACATCTCTGGAAGAAATGCAACAGTATTTTGACATTTTGTGCAGAAGAAATGTATCTGGAGTGTTTGTAGAATTTTGTACCCCTTTCAGATAAAATGAAGTTATGGGTTTATGAACTGAAAAATCTGTAAGCTGCCCTGGTTAATAAAGCATATCCTAATTCAAAATCATTAGACTGGCAAAAGGTTTCACTCTTAGAACCCTTTAAAACCTACGTTAACTTTGAATTAAAAAGGCGAAGGAGTTTGATGCCGTGGAAAGGATTCATGGAAGGCAGGGTTCATAACTCCATCCCAAAGTTATTATAAGAGTTTTAGTTAATTTCCTAATTTTTGAGGCTGTTTCTCATCTGTTATATGGAGATAGTAATAAGTAAATGTTGCAAGTACTACCATAAAATATATTTCTACCTCCAAAATATGTTAAGTGATACTGTTCACTTCTCTTCATCTCTAATACTCCTATTTTAACTCAGGCGAATCTTGTCTCTCAGCTACACCACCACCAAGAGTTTGCTGATAATTTTTCTGCTTCCATTCTAGCCTCAACAACCCCTCCCCTCCCCGCCGCCCATTCATAACTCAGTGGACAGCAGTCTTTCTCATCCTAGGGCCTTTCACATGTCATCCGCTTTTCTTTTCTATTTCTTACATGGACAGCTCTCTTTTCCTTTGGTTTTCTTTCTTTGGTTAAATAACTTTCTCAAAACAGTCTTTCCTGACCTTCCTACATACAGTAGTTTCCTCTCTTATTTGCTACCTCGGCTCATTTATTTCCTTCATGGAGCGTATCCTAATTTCCAATTTGTTTTTATTTTTCTGTTTACTTCCTTGTTTGTTATCTATATAAGATTATGGGTTTCACAAAGGCAGAGACTGGCTTGGTCTAGTTCAGCCTTGTCTCTACCAAGCACAGTGCCTGGAATATTAAAGATAGTAAAGACATATTTGTGTGATGAGCGAAGGAGTTGCTGTGAAGAATAAGCGAGATAATTAGGTGCATCTTTAAGTACCTAGGAGTTCAGTAAACATTGGCATTCTTTCTCTTTTCTTTTTCAGTGCTGCCCAATCAATCTCCATCTCTTTCAACCTGTACGCTTCCCTGCTGAAGGTACACTGGCACACCTCCCCATCACATAATATAGTGAAGTACAGGGAAAAAAGAGCTTGCTCTTGACTTGGAAACACTGTGTTTTAATATCTGTGTTTTGTGATTTATGCACTGACCTGTGATTTATGATATGACCTTTTCTATGCCAAATTTAAAGATTTGTAATATGCTGACAAACATTCATTTTTTTACTATCTCTTCTTATAGGTTATGCCATATCTCTAAATTTGTCTTGGGCAGTGGTATTGCAAAATTATTTGACTATTTTGTTACCATTTTCTCTTATTATTTAAAAGCAAGTAAAAAATTAAAATCTAAAAATTTATAAATGTGATTAAAAGCTAAGATAAAAAACAATATAATTTAGACAGAGATGAAAATAATTAAGCATACAATAGATGGTTAACATTTAGTTTTACTGGACACATTAAAATTATGATTAATAGTGTCTTCACTTAAAAAGAAAAGGAATATATTTAAAGAGCAGCATGAAATGCTGAAATTTTATCAGCATATAAATTATGTCTAAAAGGTGAGGCATAATTAAGAAAACTATATCAGTGTAAGCTCTCTGTGGAACAGAATCTCATTCTAAAATATCTCTTGCATATTTGGCTTTCTAGTGTGTTATCTGATTTTTGTCTGAAGTACTAGATTGCTAATAGAGCATACCCCTTTTTTCTCCTGAAACATTAGCAAACCAACTCCTTTAGTTTACTTATAAGAAGGTGAAGGAATTAGTTCTACAGGCCTGCCTCAATTCTTCCTCATTAGTCACCTGAAATATTTCAGAGTCTAGGTCTGCAGGCAGAGTATTTATTTAAAAAGAACCCCTCACAGTTCTGGATTAATAGTCATATAACTGGTGTCCATTTGGGAGCGGGGCATATTTACCAGTGGACAGTCAACAGTTTTAGATGCACAAGAAGAAAGACATTCAAGGTGTCTTCTATTTTGTTTTCCTCTTGGTTAGTTAATCCCCCCACAGGCAATAGGGTATTTAGTTCAGGCTCTTTCTTCTTTAAGACTGATGAAGGTCAATTTTCGGAGACCACACCTTGTGTTTCTAATACAATTCTGCTTTAATGAATCAGTTCCAGAAGAATTTTTCTGACTCTCCTACAAGCTTGCCCTGCTCCTTAACTCTTGCCAGACTGTGCTAGAATGTTCCTCTGGACTTTGATACATTCACTCTTTAAATCTGGTGTGTCCCGCAGTCATTGAACTTGGCTGCATTCGTAATATTGTCCTGGATTTGCAGAAGGGACTGTGGAGTTCTGCCCATTTTTTCTAGCATTTAATCCTCAACAAGCTTATTTTTATTTTTCCTTCACTATCCAGTGCCCTAAAGGCAATTACCATCTTCAGTGCAGGAGCCTTATTTTGCATTCGCAAAGCCATACGTAACTAGCAGTTAATGGACAGTATAGAAAGTTGGGTCGAACAGTGCTGCTCTGGAGTATTCAGGTCTTCACTATCTGTGCCACCAGTCTCTCATCAGGCGACCCCCTGACCAAAATACGAGCAGCCCAGACTGAAATGCATTAATGACCGCACAACTCTTGGCAAGCTAAGTCTCAGTACAAATGTCCTTGACATTTTTCTTTTCAGTTAATGATGCATATCATTGCTTTCCAAACTCTTTCACAAGGCTTACAAAATCCATCACGACCTTTACCATTTGTCTAACTTCATCATTCCCCCTTTCCTTTGAACTGTAGTCTTCTGAACTACTTTACATTTCTTGTCTCCAATTTTAAGCTTGCCATTCCTTTTGTCTGAATATCCTTTTCTTCCTACTCAGTGTTCCGTGGTGTTGTGAGACACTTTAAGAGAAGGTGCTCAGTTCTTTTGAATAATTTAAAGATGTGGGGCTAACTGAATGTTGCTTGACTATTCATCATTAAAACATCAGAAAGTAATTTAGGGCATAGGGAGAATGTGGAACAGTATTTTGTACATAGAAAATTATGAAATACCAAACTTCTTAAGGGAAGAGACTTTAACCCTAGGGACTTGAACTGTTCCAAATATTTTGTAAGAAACAAATCTTTTGTATCTTTATCTGTAGGCATATGCATATGCACGTGTGTGTGTGGGTATGTGTGTGTGTGTGCGAGAGATAATACATTTGTGTGTGTGTGTGTGTGTGTGTGTGTGTGTGTGTAACTTCCTCTCCATCACTGAAAACTTTTCTCTCAATGGCTTTACTCTACACACAAAAAGACAATGGAGGAGCTCTGTGGATAAAGTACAAACTACATTAGAATCTATTCTAATACTTAACTCTAAGAAAGCGTTTTAATACTAGTAGAGCCTTTGAGAGGCATGTTCTAATTTTTGTTTATGAGATATCTATCTGGAGTAAACATTTGGAATGGAGAACCATCCACAGCAGAAGTGAGACTGTCAAGGGCAGCCCAATTCCCATCTAGGCTCTGGTCTTTTAATTCATACCTGGCCCCTCTCTGGTTAGGAGCATTTAAAGGCAAGGCTGAATTACAGCAAAGAATGCCAGAGAGTTAAAGTAGCCTATCACAAATACTTCTCAGTACTAAAATATAGTAATGCTAATATATTTGAATGGATATCACACATGAGCTTGCACTTGACCCACATTGCTTCTTCATCGTCTTTCCCTCATCTCCCTGCGTCCATGTTTGGGGTGCAGAGACTGAGAACAAAGGCTCTCCAGGCTATGCCTTTATGACCTATAAGGAGCCCTTCTTATATTTTGACTCAAGACTTGAGATTTGAACTTGATGCACATATTCCAGATTGATAAGAAAATGGAAAGAAAACTTAGCTTTTATCATATACCTATAGGTACAATATCATCCTGAAAATGCAGTAACTATAACAAAGATTTCAAAAATCCCATTCAATACATCCTAACTTGATCAAAATCAAAATATTCACCCTAATTTTAGGCACCTGAATCCAGAACTCAAATTCTTAAGCCAAGAATGTAGATAAACTTGAGAAATTATTCACAATTCAGATTAAATGCCACTGATCATTTTTCCTTTTCAGTTCATGCAAGGACCGCTTCACCAAAATGTGCTTATCAGTTTCTGTATAATTAAGAAATATCTTGTACAAGGAATGAAGTACATAAAAGAATTATCAGACACACTAGCTAAACTAATTGCATATGGGGCTGTGCCAGTTTCCAGTCTCAGTGATTAGATTATGTCTCCTACTTTCTTTAAATATCACAAATAACTGAAAGTTAGTAAGCAGCTATTTTCA